AAGAGGGTTGTGAGAGCAGGCATTCATTGGGCAGGGCACCCAGCCCACCAGCTGCTACAGCATTCTGCAGTTACTTCCCCACTGCCATTTCATCCCCTCTGCCTTTCTGACAGAAAAAAGAGCACAGAAACAGGAGTAAAGCTCTTCTGCCTGTGCCAATAGAATCCTCTCTTCTTGCAGAGGAGGCAGCATCTTCGGTTCCAGTGGCAGGCAGAAGAGACAGGGAAGGGTAATTACCATGCAATGATTATTTTTAAAGCTGAAACAAAAATGACTAAATTTATATAAGAAGCAGATGTTTTATAAAGTATTAATTTTTAAAGCAAAATATAACATTACGGGCATGTGAAGCAGTACAAGCAGAACCAGTTTGTGACAACAAATGCTGAAGAGGGTGAGTTCATATCTTACCTCCCCTGGTCGGATTTTGATGTAGAAGTTGTTCCTCTTGTATGAAATTTTGAGAACCTTAGGCCAGGCAAACCTGTTTATTCTGAGTCTGTCACGGTATATCAAAAGACCACTTGCACAAACACCTAACATGATTTCAACTCCTTCAGAATCCTAGTAAATAAATAAGTGAAAGAAGTGGAATGAAGACTCTTTCCAAAAATGCTTAGTTTTCAAGGTGGTGTTTACAATTTTGCTATTTCATTTATATTTTCACTGTCAACTGTATCACCATCTAAAGCAAATGTGAACTTCAGTAACACCATTATTAACACTTAGTATCCATTTTTCTTTCTCCGTATTTTGAGCATGTGACCATGGATCAATGTAGCTCTCCATTCTCTGCTAAGGCAGTACACAAATCAGTGACTGGAGTTTTGTGATGGATGAAGTTAATAAGTGGGAACTTAATCCTAACCAGAGGTGTTACTAAATAGGTAAAGGACTGACCCAGGAATTCAGGTATCGCCTGTTCTGGATGGGACTGCACTCCCCCTAAAGGAGCAGGCTTGTATGTTGGGGTTCTGCTGGACCCAGGTCTCCTATTAGATAAGTAGCTGATGGTGGTGGCCAGATGTGCCTTTTACAGACTGATGAGCCAGTTGCAGCTTTTCCTGGGTGAAATGATGTTGTCATTGTGGTGCATGCCTTGGTAACATCTAGATTAAACTACTGCAATACACTATAAGTGAAGCTTCCCTTAAAAGAGCATGGCCCTTCACTGACCCTTCTTCCCCTTTGGGTGTCCATATTTGTTTGTATATATGTTTGTTTATATGTATATAGGTTTTTATATGTGTTAGTGTGTTAAGTGCTGTCATTTCTGACTTACGGTGACGTTATGAATGAATGGCCTCCAAAACATCCTACTGTCAACAGCCTTGGCTCAGGTCTTGCAAACTGAGGGTTGTAGCTTCTTGATCATATCAGTCGATCTCACATTAGGTCTTCCTCTTCTCCTGCTGCTTTCAGCGTTTCCTAGCATTGTTGTCTTTTTCAGTGACTCTTGTCTTCTCATAATTTTATCAAAGTATGATAGCCTTTTGTTGCCAAGAGAGGGCCCCTGTGAGTTTAAGGAGCAAGCGGGGGCCTCCAGAAGCTCAGCTGGAAGGGTGAACAGCTGGGCTGACACTGGTGTACCCATGTCACTGGAGGGGTGAGGACCATATCCTGACTGTCGGACTTTAAATAGAAACAACTTACTGGTGGGAAGGGAGGCGGGCGTTGAGGAAACAGCAAGCAACACAGAGGCAGCAGCTGGAGAGCAAGACTGTAAGCTGGAAGAAGAGGCAAGGTGGAGAGGGGCAGTGAAGGAAGCCTTGGAGGGATTGTTCTGTTGCAACAGACCCATTAATCAAGAGGAGGAAGACTCGACCCCTGAAGTAATTCCAGAATTAGAAGAGAGGTGAGCCTGTGAGGAAAAAGAGACTGGCGCTGTATGGAGAGCATAGAAACCCCGTCTGGAGGAGGCTACAGAGACAGAGCAGAGAAACCGAGGCCTATTATGCGTGCACATTTTACTGCATATTTTCAGAGCAGTAAGCCTTTAATCTTGACTTTGGATTCTGTGCCCGCCTTACTTTCTTTTCCCTCCGGTGTATCTATTCTGCAGCTACAATAAAAAACCATGCACTTTTCTAAATCAGGGTGAAATTATGCAATTGTCCTATCACAGATGCACAGTAGCATCCAGCAAGCACCTCCCATTTAAATCCTTGTGGTTCAGGTTTTGCCCGTGCATTTTAGTATTAGTTTGTTGAATAAAAGGGAACAGACAGGAATGCAGGCAAAGGGGGAGAACCCAATGTTGAAATCGATAAGCCTTTTCTTGAAGCTGATAAGCAGCTGCAAAGCCTCATTTTCCATATTGCAAAGCACTAGGGGATTCTCTGCCGTGTTATTGGCCACTGTGAAAAATGGGAAAGATTCACACGATCTCATAACATGGGGGAACATGCCGAGTGTACAGAATGTACAGTAGAACCACTGACACTGGTACTGCAAGCTGTGATTGTTGGCAGCGTCTCTCTCTCTCTCCATCTCACATCAATTTCATTCGGCACTGATGATCCTCCCCCTTTATTTTGTTTGCATGCAGCACTGAAATCCCTCCCCCTTTTTTTGCACTGGGGATACTGCCATTTGCCTCCTCTCTGATCCCTCTTTCAGCAGGGAATTAAACCTCACACAGCTCCTTTTAAACTCCCCCCCATTTTAATTTTTTATTCAGTAATCCAAGACTAATGATAGTTCCATATTGCTAGATTCATACAACTTGTCAACCCACCCTTTAAAACAAGGGAAAAATGGAGCTTGTACATCGATGAAGGGGGGAGGATGGTGGAAGTTGCAGAATGGGTGGAACAACCTCGATGTGGGTGGGGGGGTGACCTTCAAGGGGTGGCAAAAAGGCGAGGGAGAAATCCAAGGGAATCGGTACACTTTTGAATTACCTTCAGCTTGAAAGCAAAAAAACGGCAAAAATTGGCACAAAAGCACTCTCAGAAAACCTGGGGAAACAGCGACCAGAAAGTGAACTGAGCGCTGAAGGGAGAAAAATCAATGCACAATGACAAAGAAAACCCGAATGACATGCACGGAGAAAGTGAAGGAAAATACCAGTGCATAACAGGCCAGAACTGAGAGGAAGCTGCCCTACAGAGCAGAGGGGGAGGGAGAAGCAGCAAAGATGCCTGGGCACAAGGTTGTAAGTCAGCTTTACTTCAGAACACGCCTAATTAAGAGGTGATAATGTGCATTCAGGGGAAGAAGGAGAGTTCTTCAGAAATAAAAGGGGACTGGTGAGAAATAAAAGAAAGCTCTGTAGGACTATAGCCACTTGAAAGCAGGTTTTAAGAACTTTGGTAGTTGTAGTCTACGGTACAAGGATCCTTTAATATAACAGATTGAGAAGTTAGTTCGCTGGCATTATTGACAGGCCTTGAGCACCATGGCCATTTGGGTGTTACAGGCTAAAAATGCTAAAGGCATGGATGGCTGTGGGTTTTCAAAAGGGCCAACCTGGAGTATAATATCTGTCAGAAAAGCAAGACACATCTTGGTCTGAGACCAATAAATGTCACACCTCTGTTTAGTCATTTTAGCTTCTAGAGAGTTCAGGTTTCATCTGATTTAGAACCCACTGTTGTTGTTGTTTTTGGCGGTCAATGGTTACCATAAAACTCTCCTCCAAAACCGCACTTCAAAGGAATTTACTTTCTTCTTGTCAGCTTTCTTCATTGTTCAACTTTCACATCCACACACAAAACTGGGGAATATTATGGTATGAATTATTTTGATCTTGGTTGCCAGCAACACATCTTTAGACTTAAGAATATTTTCTAGTTCCTTCATGGCTGCCCTTTCCAATTTCAATCTCCTTCTGATTTCTTGGTTGCAGTCTCGCTCTTGGTTGATGATGGAGCCAAGGAATAGAAAATGTTTTCAGAATCAACCTTAAAACTGTGTAATTCTCCAGTAGTCATTACTTTTGTCGTCTTGATGTTCAGTTGTAACCCTGCTTTGGCACTTTATGCTTTAACCTTCATCAGTAGTTTTTTCAAGTCTTCACTATTTTCTGTCAGTAATGTGGTGTTATCTGCATATCTCAAATAGTTAATACTCCTTCCAGTAACTTTCACTCTACCTTCATCTAAATCTAATCCAGTTTTCCTTATGATATGTTCTGCATACAGTCTGAAGAGATAGGGAGATAAAATACATCCTTGTCTGACATCTTTGTCTATTGGTAACCACCAATGTTCCCTCTAAGCTGTGGAGTCTAGTGAGCAAAAATTCTGCTTTGTGAGCTACTGGCATTAAAGTTGTGAGCAAGAAATTTGGCTACTGCATAAATTAGTCTGCTCTGGAGCCCTCCTTCCTGAGCTAAGACAAAAATCTGTGAGCTGGATGCTAAAAAACTGTGAGCTAGAGCACACTAACTCAGCTTAGCGGGAACACTGGTAACCACCCTGTTTCTCCATGTTCGGTACTGAGACTAGCTTCTTGTCCAGAGTACAGAATACATGTTATGAACCAAGACCAATCAGATGTTGTGAGACACCCATTTAAACAACTCTGCTCAGATGTAAATCCCATTTTACTACGTGGAGGGGGATTTTAAGATTGCACCTAACAGTGCAACCCTGAGAACACTTTCCTAGGAGTAACCTCCATTGAAAAGACCTCAGTAGGATTCGGAATAAACTTGTGTAAGACTGATCTATCAGTAACTTAGAGGGGCAGATTAGGAGGCAAAAATGAACCTGAAAAGGCTCCCATCCCCTGGTCTGCCTCCTGAAAGAGGGAGGAGAGAGGGAGAGACCCCTGGTCTGCCCCCACATGGGGGGAGGAAGCAGCACGCTAGCTGTGACTTTCACTCAGTTTGTTCGTGCCCACATTCTGGATTCAAGAACTCCCTTTTGCTAAGTGAAGGGTCTTCTGTCAGAGACAGGTTCTGCACTTAGTGAAAGGAAATATTTGGCTCCAGCCCCAGGAAAGGCTTGTATAACGTGTACTAGCTTATCTGTCAGCACCCAATCTAGCACTAAATTGGCATTTACTCAGATGCACACAACGAAAATCTTCACAAGAAAGGATTTCCTATTGACTTCAAAGTACAGGCATCTCTGTTGTACATACCAAGTTCTCACCAATGAAAGTACGAACATATGTACCTTACACAGAGCCAGGCCACAGGTCTATCAAGGTTAGTAAAAAAATTAAAAAATAAAAAATAATAAAAAGTATTGTCTACTCTGATTGGCAGCGACTCTTCAGGTTCTCAGGTAGAGGATGTTTCACATGACCAGTTACCTGATCCTTTCAGCTGGAGATACCAGGGACTAGGACCTTCTGCATACAAAGCAGCTGCTCTAATGTTGAGTCACAGCCCCTTGATTCAAACAACAACAACTATGCTTGTACACAAGGAGCCTCTGAAAGTGGTGAAATATGTATATATAAAGGTGTATGTAATAAAAAATAAAACTCAAATGTCCTATTGCCATGGTTCATTATTTTCCCCCTGTAAAATGCACTTTTTTGTAGTATTGATAGAAACCCTGGAGTGATACCTATTCTTTTGAAAATTATTATGCTTAACATTGGAATATATTTTTTCTATAAAAAGTATTACTGAATTTGTTTTTTATTAAGTCCATAAATGGCTCCAGGTCTGTCTCTTTTTAATATATGTGTTTTTTGCAAATTTCTCTAGAAGTGCACTGGATATATGTTTTTGATATTTGTGCTTATCTTAATATTTTCATGCATCCTCATTTCTTTTGAAATCTATGCATCTATCATATGTGTGTGTCTTCATTTCTGAAATAATCTTCTGCAGCCTAAACCAGTACATTTTTTTTCTCCTGTCCAGCAACTTTTCTCAAGAACATGAATGAATTTTATTCTGTTCATGTATGTGATCCTGAATGGAGAAATACAAGACCCAAATATTAACAAACCTAACTATTTGCAGCTTTGGCAGACACACTGCTTTTTCATATTATACTCAGTCTTATGTTCATATAAGAAATGTGTATACCGCTTTTCAGTCAAAAGACTCTTGCGGCTAACAATAAAATGATCAACAAAACAGTCTAACACAACCTTAAAATCTTTCAAGACACAGATTAATTTAGTAACATCCAATTTATAAGAATCACAGCAGTCAAGTCCACGTAAAGCATTCAGCATCCTGTAATAACCTCAGGACCCCTCAAAGAAATGGAAGGAAAGAAGTTGTAGCACTACTACAACACCATAACCAAAACTCTGCATATACAGATATGTTTTAACTTGGTGCCTAAAACTCATTAACCTAGCAGCCATGTGGACAGAATTGGGAAAGGAGTTATATAATCAAGTTGCTACTGCACAGAAGGTTCTATGGTAACCCATCTCACTTCTAAAAATAGAGGTAAGCATAGCAGGGCCTCATCATGATTTCTTAACTGAGAATTTCTTTCAGTTTGTTAATAAGTTCCATTTTAATAATTATAGAACACCACTTAATTAAAAATGAATACTTTACAAAATATCTAGTTGTGGGCAAATTACAGAATTTAACAACAAAATTCATCCATATTTAAAGCACTTAATATGAACAACAACAAAGTGTGTTAAGTATTGCATGAAATAAAACAACAAGCAGAAACTCGGCCAACAGATGATGCATTTTCCTACCGGCTCTTGTGGCGGTATCAGCATGGGGCATTGGCATCACTCTCAGGAAAGCTGGCCTGCATGCCCATTTTCCTGAGCATGGGGATCCCCTTAAGGAATCTTGGTGTGAGGGTCATGCCCAGGTGGCAGCGGAGACCACTCCTGGGTGGCCGCCCTTGTGGGATCCAGTGACCTGTCATCCCAAGGTCATCCCAAGGGATCAATGACTGGCAGGCGGGTCAGCTGATGAACAGGATCCGGTACCCCATGCTGTGCCAAGGCTTCTTACAGCTGTAATCAATAAAGCTGTGGCCAATTATATTCCAATTTTATCCAAAACTGTGTGTGCATGTGTGATTCCAAACCTCGGTTAAAAAAAGGGGTTATTGACAGTGGAATAAGGGAACCCCTTGCCTTCGGTGCCCGCCTTGCCCTCCCCTTGTTGCTGGGGCTGCAATATAAATTAGAGTTCTGTTCATGATGCATACCTTGGCATGGTGTAGATCTACTCCATACATGGACAGTTTTTTGGCATTCTCCAGGAAATGCATCTCAGCTTCTGCAGGTGTCATTCCCCTGACAAGCATCAATAAGTATGGGTGAAAATATATTTTAGAAAGAACTTAGAAAATGCATTTATTGTGTGTACTGATTTAAATGAAAGATCATAATGATCTTTCATAATATTGTGCACTTTTACCACTTTTCTCTTCCCTTAACTGGGAAAATCAATCAGTCTGTCTGTCTGTCTTCATTCATTTCCATTTGCTTATTTTACCTGTGGCTTTTGTGAAGCTCTATTACTTTGTCTTCCAGTTCTTTAGTATGGTTTGGTGCAAAGCGAAAATCACTGACATAATCACTTCCATATTCCTCTGGATCATAATCTCCAAGTTCTGACTGAACTGTATAGGAGCCCAGCAGCGCTAGTGTAACAAAAGAGCAAGGCAGCCGTCCAGAAACTATGTCATCTCTCAACTGCAAGCACAGGTAGTACCTGAAAAAGATTTTTAAAAACAAAAACAAAGACTATGACGCCATTTACCTGAAAATGTTAAACTGAATTTAATAACAGGAAGTGCAGTCCTGTAACAGTAATACAGATTGCTGTAATTTGAGGAGGGGAAGGAAGGCAGGAGGAAATACACAAAAGTATAACTGAGATCTTCCTCTTATAAAAGTGGGCTATAATAGGATTTTGCAAGCATTCCTAATAAACAGCACAGTTATGAAAATAAAGCCTTCACACTTTGAAATATGGAATATTCATATTTAAATTAAATTCTTGAGATTTGCAGCATGTACTTTTTAGCAGATAATGTCTATGTTTACTAGTCCTAAATTGGCATACCAACTTCTTTTTTAAATAAAGTCAGCTAAAACAGCAGTAGCCTTTCCCTTCTTATTGATTTTTTCCTCACGCATCTATATATGCTATTGTGTTGTATGTGTTGTTATTAGTTACAGCATTCAACAACAAAATTCATCCTTATCTAAACACTTAATATGAACACCAACAAACTGTGCAAGTATAAAACAATGAGCAGAAACTCAGCCAAAAACTGATGCCTTTTCCTACCACCTGCTAATGTTAGAATTATGGTGATCACTTGACAATATATGGACTGTGGATAAGTAGAAATTACTATCATCAGAAATTCGGAGGCGGGAACAACTTAGAAACAGTGCTCATGTTTGAACTACCTGGTGATATCTTCCGAAAGCTGGGCAGGATCAGGAGGGTAGAATTTCACATTAAATGAGAACTGCCAAGCACCACCTGCAAGAGTATAAAGGATTACTGGAATTACTGGTACACTGTGCCCCATAACGGTTACTGAGTTGTAACTCAGTAACTCCAATGCTTTCTTAAAGATTCAAAGACATTTTTAATCTTAAACATTCAATGACACATCTCTTCCCAAGCAGGGTTATAACTCTTAGCAAATAATAATTTGTCCTGTATTGCCCATAAATCTAGTATGCAAACAAACTGTTTTTTGACTAAGATGTAGTTTATGTAATAGAAATGAAAAGAGAGAATGCACTGCTAGGTACACGTTCAGCAGTGTTTCAAAGTCTGTGACCACAACTAAGTGAAGCACACACAACTGTATCTAGGATACACCAATCAGCACCATCTTAGCACAAGTGCTTCATCTTTATCATGAACAAAATTGCAAAGACAAATATAAAGGTAACTACTAAAAGTCTGCTCTAAAAGATTTAGGATTAGGTAATATTACTGATTTATTTCCATAGCTACATTAGTTTAAAAGCAGCAACATCAACATTTTATGTTCTATAAACCATTGACATGAAAACACTGCTACTAAGGAGCAACTAAAAAGAAATGGATTCCAAAAAGACAATGCCAGCAAGTTGAGAGGGCAACCCCTGGACAAAAATGCATTCTGGAACTGGGAGGAAGGAGGCTGCAGTAGAGAGAGGTGGTAACCTGCATAGGAACTTTGCAGAGAATGGTCCACAGCAGATTTTGTCCAAAAGTGTCCTTCTGGGTAACAGCACCTTTTCTGAAGTCAAAGGGGTTGCTGAGAGGAAGAGAATGATAAGAAAGATGCACCTCCATGAATCTATGATGCAACCCTGAATGTTTTATGATTAAGCATGGTGTGGTAGTTGGAGCATTGGGCGTTGACAGGGCTTGGATACAAATCCCTGCTGATCTGCAAAGGTTACTCTGGACCAGTCACATACTCAGCTTAACCTATACCACAGGACTGTTGTGGGGATCTAAAATGTGACAAATACATAAATAATATGATCTATAATAAAAAGAGTAAGATTGAATGAGTGGTTGCTGGGCAACTTCAAGTATACTCAAATGAAGTAGATTGTTCGGATTAATTCCACTCTGGTTTCAGGCCTTGTTATAGGACTGATATGATCTTGGTCACCCTAGTGGATGTCCTGCACTAGCAAATGGACAGAGGGAGTACAACAGTATTGATTCTCCTGGTAGCTTTCAACACCACTGATAATGGTATAATTCTGGACCACATTTGGGGGTTAGGAGTAGGAGACACTGTTCTGTGGTAGTTTTGGTCCTACACTTCAGAGTGTGATGTTGGGGGACTGCTACTTGACCCCTTGGCCTCTGGCATCCCACAAGGTTCTGTCTTGTCCCCCATTTTTAAACACTGATACAAATCTTATGCTTCCAGCAGATCCTAGAGGGGCTGTGGAAACCGTGAATTGGCATCTGGGATATTTAAAAGCTAACAAGCTGAAAGTTAATCCTAACAAAGTGGAGTTGCTACTACTGGGGGGAAGGTTTGACATTTCCTGTTCTGGATGGGGTTACACTCCTCCTAAAGGAGCAGGGTCATAGCTTGGGGGTGCTGCTGGATCTGGGTCTCCTGTTGGATAAACAGGTTCCAGGAATGTTCAGGGGCACCTTCCATGATCTTTGACTGGTGAGCCAGCTGTGGCTCTTCTTGGACAGAAAAGATCTTGTCACTATGTTGCATGCCTTGGTAACATCTAGAAGGGATTACTGCAATATGATCTAAATGGGGCTTCCCTTGAAGTGTGTCCAGAAGCTACAGTTGGTACAGAATGCTGCAGCCAGAAGGCTGACTGGAATGGGTGATAGGGACCATATTATTCCAGTCTCGTTACACCCACACTGGCTCCCAATGCAAGGAGCCAATGCAACCATTGATCTTTAAAGCCTAATGTAGTTTGTGGCCAGCATACCTTAAGGGCTGAACCCTCCCATATGAATCTCCCAGATCACTTCATCTTCAGAGGCCCTGCTTTAGATGCCCCCAACAGATGGCTACTTGAGAAAGGGCTTTCTTAGCCACAGCACTCAAACTCTGCCCCCCCTCAAGAGATTTGTCTGTATCCCTCTACCACTATCATCTGCCAGCAGGTGGCATTTTGTTGGCATTCCCTCATTAACTCTCATTGGCCTTCCTTCTCTATGGGTCTATGTGTTTGTATGCTTTATTTAATTATTTTAAATATTTTATATATATATATATTCTGTATTTTAACGTTGTTTTGCGTTTCTACCACCTTGCAGATCCTAAGTAAGGTGGAAAAGCCATATACAAATGTTTTAAATATTCACATGAATATATGAATTTAACCATTCTCTTTTTCAAATGAAGAACCATGATGCCAATTGCCCCTTATACTGGCTGTATCTTGACACAAGAAAATACCATCTAATAACAGAGTAAAAAAATAATGTTTATTTCACACTTAAATCAGGCCATACATCTTTATAACTGCAATGCTGGGCCTTTTGTTTCATTTGCTTTGCATTTTGAAGTGTTCTATTTTTAACTATTTAAACTGAGTGATGAATATATATGCTGAAGGCATGTCAGGTTCTATTACCATAGCCTTGCTGTGTCTGACAGAAGAGAAGCCATGCTAATCTTGACAGTACAATGTCCATTAAACTGCCTGCAAGTTTCCTACAGGTACCACTCGTTAGGGCTTGGATTGCTGTTGACATGGTTGAGCCTCTGCTGTATATAGAGCCTTCCATACCTTCTTGGCTCATCCTTGCCTATTATAGATTTTTTTAAAAATTGTACATTCTCAGCTTCTTCACCTAAGGTGGCCTTATAGATACTTCAGTTGGAAACTATTGGTTTTTTTCAACATAGCCAGAATTTTGTATTGCAATTTATAAAAATCTTATTAATTAATTTCAATCAGACTTCAAAATACTTGGATGTTATTTGTTTGCAGTAGAAACAGCAAGAGAAAAATAAACTGTATCAGTTGCATAAATGTAGACATACCATTCCATTAAAAAGAAACATATAATTCAGACTTGCTTTTCTCATAGGGTAAAACCAGGAAACGGATTCAGAAACAACATTTCTATGCAATGCAAGGAATTGTGCATCATTATGGTACAGTGGCCCAATGGAGTCCTGTGTTCTAACAAGTACACATGTAAGATTTGTGTATTGTGTTAAGGATAATTTCAATGATGTCCTGAAGTACAATATGTTTCTAAAGAAATTCTCTGAAGCAGGAAAATGTGTACCTATAAAGACATCTTTTCATACAGTGAAATGAAAACCTAGATTTTTCTGTCCTGGATAACCTCTCATAGTGCACTCCTAAACAGAGTTAAATTCTTCTAAACCAACTGATTTCAATGGACTTAGAAGGCTGTAACTTTGATTAGAATTGCACAAATTATTCACAAATTCTAATGCAAATATAAGCCAAATGTGGTTGTCATTAGCAGAATACAAAATAAGAAATTGTAACACTTTTTCTTCACTTCAGTATTTAGTTTTATTTTGTAGCGAGAAAGACGCATTTTAAAACATTTAGAATAGTCAAAAGATTTCTCATTATACTATGCATCAAGATTTGTTGCTACAAATAGTACTTTTAAGTCATAATTCTAGATGGAGAACATTTGGTGCAAAATGTAATGCTTACATACACTTGACTATTGTAAGCATTTTTATTTGTGAAGTGTTAGTAAGAAAGAAAACTGGCATCTGTTTGGTGCAACTGATTCCATGTGTAAGAACTACATTAAGCCTACCAAAAAACATTTACATCTTCAAATGATACGTGACTTATTAAGGTTCTTGAATCACTGCACGTGTACATTTAAAAAATCAGCAATGGGTTGGATCCTATGAGCCACAAGTACAAAGAGGTTCTCTGCTAGTAGACCAGTGAGGAGGCCCTATTTCTTCCAATGCCACCTTCCCTTTGGAGCCATCGGTGCTGCATGGCATTCTGTCCAAGAGGGTCCCATTGAAGACAGTTCTAACCCAATATGTTTAAAGCAATAAAGCAACCAATTCATTTTATGGATAGCAAAGTAACATGGATGCCAAAGTTACTTAGAAAAAAATGGGGAAATGCAAATAAGAGATGAACAAGTAATTATCCTATAAGAACAATGGAATGTTGACAGTTCTGCAGTAACCAAGAAAGGGCCATTTCTCCTTAGAGGCCTCCCCTGCCTCTCCCCACTATGTACTCACAGCTCTGCTGGCTGCTTAACTGGTGTCTAGCAGAGATGAGGAATGAGCTCTGTGGCTTGTCTCTGCACCATCCTTGCCTGAAGCAGCAGCAGACTCCACCATGAGGAGCCTGCAGTAACAGAAGGCTTTTGCACATCCCTTCTTACTTTGCAGTCACTCATCTCCAGTCTTCAGCATAGAGCTGGGGGGAGACACCATATCCTGAGGTAGAGCGGCCACTTTGGCTGTTATCTACCTTAACTGCCTGCGAAGGCCAGTGCCTGGGCTCATGCTTGACTCTCTGCAACCTGATCAGGGAGGAAAGCACCTCTTGTGTAATTTTATTTTTATTTATTTTTAACATTTTTACCCTGTCCTCCCCGCAAGCGGGCTCAGGGTGGCTGAAGTCTTTCCCCAGGTGTAAGAAGTCTTTCCCCAGGTATGTTAGGTGGCTGAGGTAGGAAGGAAGTGCTGTTCTGCAACACTACTGCAGCTTCCTCTGTTGATCTCTCTCTGGTCAGTTGCTCTGACCGGTGCTGAGCTGGAACCTCCCTACCTAAATGGTGAGAGCCCCAACCAGGGCAAGAGAAGACTTGTGAGTGGGAAGGCAGCTTCATGTAGAGCTATTCTGCCCTGGGCACTGGCCTGTGCCTCTAACCCTCCCTCTGACTATGGAACTGGGGTGGGGACAGGAAAACTACAGGGAAAAAATGAGGGATTTATCCTGCTCTAGTAGGAGCAGATCTCATAACTTGCAGTCTGCTAGTCAGACAAGGCCAAATTTGGTGTCATTAGGAAGCCCTTACCTCTGGGGCTTCTCAGAAACCTGAAGGCCCTGCCAGTGGAAGACACTTTATTGACAGTGCAAACTGCCTTCCCACACCAGAGAATATATAAATATCCAGTGATATTTATTTATTTAGATCATTTCATGCTGCCTTTCCACCCAATCAGGGTCCACAAGGCGAGGAACATTAAAAACAAAACAATTAAAATACAGTTACAATTATACAATTCAATTAAAAACATATAAACACAACACTAGAAGGTGGGCCAATAACCATTAGTGGACCTATGCCAGACAAAACAAAAAAGTCTTCACCTCTTGGTGAAAGACAGCGATAGAGGGAGACAGACGAATCCCCCTGGGGAGGGAGTTCCAAAGTTTTGGTGCCATGATGGAAAAGGCCCTTTGTCAGGTTGCCAACTGTCCAGCCTCAGATGTTCGGGGCAACTGAAGCAGGGCTTCTGAGGATGACCAGAGTGAGCAAGTAGGTTCATATGGGAGAAGGTGGTCATGAAGGTACGTTGGTCCCAGGCCTGCTCCTTTGAGGGAGTGCAACCCCAACAGGGGGAAACCCATTTCCTCTGCCAGACCTTTCTCCCACCAGTAGCACCTCCATTTTGTTGGGATTTATTTATTTAGAGAACTGTTATGCTGCCTCGCCAGGGAACCTGTTTAAGGTAGCTTACAACCCCCCCCCTAAATTTAAAATTTACCCTTTGTTAGCGCGATCTAACACCCCCCAATTTAAAATTTATGGTTGAAAAGTTAATGTGAAAATAGCTACTTTCCACAAAACAGTTATACTACATAGAAACACAAGATGTTCCAACATGCAGGATAAGGCATGGTTACAGCTTTCAACTGGACATTCACAACATCACAATACTGTCACTTGCAATGTGTCAAAGATTGGGCAGCAGCATGACCACAGTCCCAACGTTCAGGCTTCCAATCATTGCTATGGCTGTAGGCCCATAGCTATGGTGGGGCTTCTGGGGGCTCTGCCCCCTTTCTTAAAGACACAGCCCCACAAGAATTTCTGTAAATGCTTTTTTCAATCATTTTTAAACATTTTTTAAAAGGTGTGTGTTCCTTTAGTCAGAGTGGGGTGCTGTAGTTGACTACTTCCCACACTGAGCAAGGGGTTGAAGTAGGTGACCTCTAGGATCCCTTCTAACTCTGTGCCAGGAAACTAGTCTCCTTTAAGAGAGTTTTTCTGCCTAAATGTTAGCTTTCTTGACTATACAAGTCATCACCCCCACCTGCTGGTTTGTAATCAGAATTGTTGCTTAGGCTGGCAGAAGTGATTAACTTGCAGCAGTTGAGAACTGTCATCTAAAGTGTTTGACAGCTTGCAATTTAGAGATCTATCCTGGTAACAGCTTTCTACTAGCTAAATGGCTTTTCTTTCTGCACTGAGAACCTCAGCACTACCAGGAAAAAAATGTGCCCCAGAAGCCACAAAATCCTGGCTATGTGCCTGTATAGCTGCCCCGATGGCAAGAGGGTCAGCATCACCAGGCCAGCCAAGCCAGGCCAGCTCCTCTACATAATCAAGCAACCCCTTTAAAGAGTTGCCAGCTGCAGCTGGGCTATCAGTCAAACAGGGAACATATGTGGGAGGTCCAGGAAGGCTGTCGTGCAGGTGCAGGATTAAGCCTGCCCCATATAAGGCGCCAAATGGCAGGGCGGGAAGAAGGCTCCAGCTCTTCTCTTCTCCTGGCTGTGGAGGAGAGACTTGGGAAGAAGGAAGGCAGAACAAGGTGCAGTTAACCCCCTCCCCTCTCTACATCTGAGTGCTTTGCCGACCTCAGGTCTCAGCTGGAACTATAGAAGTGGACAGGGAGGACCAAGCAGTCACAGACCCCCTGGATCCCCACAACAGTGTTACTTTTGAAAGAGACAATTGCATTATTCAGAAGTTCTCCTGTATTGAACCATCTATGACAACATGTTGTCCAGGATCCAAAGACTCATACACCTAGATCTAAATAATCTGTTCCAAGAGAAGTCTGGTCATTTAAGTCCTTAAAACACAGATTTTGTATTCTCCTGAACCCAGGTATACCTTCAAATTCTACAGTGGAATCCTTCAAATGTAAACATTAAAAACAATGTTAGATTGTACTGAAAAACCTGTGCTAGAAAAAGCTTTTCTTTTCCACAGGCACGTCTCCAATTACATGCTACACCTTTTATCCTGGAACTAAAATCCTTACATAACGTGTTACAACAGAGAGTTCATTCATCTTTTCCTAGTTTTTTCATTTCTCGTTTAATTTTTCCAGCAGTCTTTCAGAACAATCTATTCAACACTATGTAAGACCTCTATTTACAAATCCTAGAACATAAATAGACACCTGGGCCTCTAGATAATTTCCTCTATGTCTACCTGTTAGTCACTAAGAGGGCTCAGTTAGGCTGGAAAAAAAAAATGGCTTCCCTTATATACTAATTTTTGACCTGAGATGTACAGTTCCCAGATTTGCTTGGAAAACTGTCAAGCTAGGCCAAATCAGCATAAATCTGACTAGTGAGTTGTTTCCAACAGGGCTATGACTGCCCTTTCCTTTTACCCAAAAGAGCAGATATTTATGGAGCATGAGATTAGTTAACATGGCAGCCCCCAAAAGCCAGATGTAAAACTACTCAGCATGAAGAAATTGACTGCCCCTGACACAGAAAATCAGTCCTTAAACTTGTACCTTCATTTTTTACCCCCTCCTTTGGGTATTTCCAGATGATTAGCTCTAAGACCTACAATAACTCGGACTGAATTGAAATAATGGTATGATTCATACATTTTAAAAAGTTTGTAATTATGGGAAGAACCCTAGGGAATCCTTGGACTAATCCTTGGCCCCCCCCCCCCCCCGCATTCTGCCCTACCCCACCCCATCTCACAGCTGGGGGGGGGGACCTGCTTTTATGGCAAACCATGCTTTATCATGACATTAAAAAAAGGAAATACTTTCTGTAACATGAACACTTAACCTTTTTTAAAAAAATTGCCCAGCAAAATGCTGATTTTTTTTAAAAAATTGCACCATTCTCCTCTAATAAATAACCGAGCACAACTTACTTCGGATTTGCTTCTTTATTTCCTTTGCTGGATCCAACCAGTTCTGAAAAGCAGTATTTTAAATATCTGAATCAGATGCATAAGAAACATTGCATTTCAAACTAAGAGCAAATGAAACAAAACAAAGATATAGTTCTAGGGCCAACGTTAAACACAAATGATTTTGGTGAGAGAAAGCTAGATGCATGCTTTACATTCTCACTGAAAACAATTGGACCTAAAATGGCTGCATCATATCCAGGGTGCGCTTACTTTCTTTGGAACCAAAGTAATTCAAAGACCACCTCCTCCCATACTATCCAGCCCACTAGCTGTTATTCTTCACACAAGCCCTTCTCTCCGCCCCCTTGACCTGCAGAGATGGTAAGTCCTTCCTCCTGAGGCTTGCCCAGCTCCTGTCCTGTTCTTTTTTATGCACCACACCAAAACATTTCTTTTTACCTAGTATTTTAACCAAGGATTTAATCTGCTAAAATTGTTTTTATAAATTGCTTCTAGCCTGTGGACTGTTATGAGGACCTTTTAGGTTGCTAGATGTTTTGTGCCCTGGGCTTTGAATGTGCTTGAATGATCTGGATTTTTATGTGCTTTGATGCTCTGGTTTTTCAAGTGTTTTTAATGGCTTCATTTATGTTTTTATTATTTTATCTTGTTTTATTTTGTGAGCTGCTTTTAATTTTTTTATTGCATAGCATTAACCAAATGATAATTTTAGAATTACAACACCTAGGAACACGCTCATTAAAAAAAAAACTTTTGTGTCTTTGCCTGTAACAGACTAAACTGAATAAAGATGTTGGAGGCAAATGCTGTCCACCTTAAAAATTACCCATAATGGTCCATCCAAAAACTTGCAAATCAGAGTGGAGTCTGTATACAGAAACACCATTTCCTTTCTGACCCCACCCCAGTCAAAGCGTGAGTAGAGATTAGGCTATCCATTCCCAATACAAGGATTTATGTGTTTCTTCCCACACATTCACTGAAGGGCGCCAAAGAGCGACTCATTTTGCAAGCTTTTTGCTTTCTTAGGCTCTTTTGCTATGGATAATGCCTATTCATAGGTCACTGAACTTCATGTGTCAGCATCATCTGAGAAACACTGTCAGAGTAATGTGAGCTTTGAAAGAAAACTAATAGCAAGAATAAATCAATTTTTGTGTATTAACATTATGCTACATTACAAAGCTCAATAATTTTATATTTTTTAAAACCAATGTGGGGTACCTGAATAAATTCAAAAGAACACGAATATACATGACAACAGATTACCTTTCCCCTGCCCCTTAAGTAACATGGAACAGGCTAATCAAGCAGTGTCCTGTTTTACACTACCACAACAATTTAAAATTATATAAAAGTTGTACTTTTGCAAAAAAATAATAATTACGAACTGTTGGACAGTAACCAGTTTTTAAACCTGATAACTTTCACAAACACTGCCACAGTTCCATTTACTTAGGTGTCTATGCTTGGATTTTAGATAGTTTTCCCATCTTTGAAATGCTGATTTACCTTTTGGTTTTCCATGTCTCTGTATGTTAGCCCAAAGTAGTCCTTCTCCAAGAGATTAAGGTGCTCACACACTTTGTCAAACAGCACCTGACCCTTTGAGCGTTTCTATGGGAAAACACAAAAGAAAATGGCTGTTAAAAATAGACATCATATTCAGGATTCTTAATTTATTTCTTGAAAATGTTTATATGCCACCTTCCCACCCAAATAGGGTCCCCATGGCAGTGAACAGCTAGCATTAAAACATTTAAACATTAAAATAACATTTAAAAATGTATATAAAATTTAACAATACAAAAAACATATCAACATACAAACAAACACATACAACCAGGAAGGTGGGCCAATAGTAGCTTACTCGGGATATGTCAAATGAAATAAAAAAGTCATCACCCACTGGAGGAAGACAATGACAGAATTAGATGATCAAGAATCAGATCATCAAGAAATTACTGAACTAGATCAAACAAATACTGACTTGATTTCACATAGTTTTAAGGGAAATATATGTCACATATACGGACATATCACTAAATCAACATTTGCAGCTATGATATTTCTTCTGTTTCCCAGTACTGGTATTTGGCGTGGTAGTGTTTTTTTCTGAATACATTGCAAACCTTTTACAAGCAACAGAAATAATTAGTGGCTCTTGGGGAAATCCATTAGAGGCAATATTGTGTATGCAAGTTCTAAGATGAGTCACTGCTAATTATCAGATCCACTGGCTTCTAGACAGCAGAATTTGTTGAAGACTGCCATGCTGATCTCATGAACACTTATTTGGAAGCAAGCTCTGATAACAGCCTGAGCTAGATGCCACAGACATTCCACCATAATTTAGGCATCTCAGGTCAAAGAATGATTTTGTGCACACCTACGCAAACACAGACACTGCAAGATGAGGTGCGTAACACTGAAGTATTATTACTAGTGCGTATTTGCATATACCCACAATGTTAAAAGAATTTCATAATGATAAGCTGCCAATAAACATTCAAACTTTAAATAAACCGGAATGTAAAAAGTCATACTGTGGAATTAGATATAATTATTTAATGTTAAAATGTACATATAATAAGATCATAGGATGATGAAATCATTACACAGCATAGAGCTTTTAGCACTAAACAATCATAAATAACATGCAGACTTCCCATCCTCATGCAAACAGACAACATTCTGTAGAAGAATATAATGTTTTTATTTAATATATGACCAAGCTTATTTTCTTGTGAGGATACACAATGTTAAAGATACCAATTCTATTATTCTATTCTTGCTGAACTTTAGCCACTCTGAGCCTGCTTCGGCGGGGAAGGTGGGGTATAAATCAAATCAATCAAATCAAATCAATATAAATACATCGTGATAGCTTTGTGACAATCTATGTCAGGGGTCTCCAACCTTTTTGAGCATGTAGGCGTATGACATGGTGGGCACAGCAACAAAATGGCTGCCACAAAATGGCATCCACAGGCAGAGCCAGCCACACGACTGCCACAGTTAACTTCAGTAACACAGTGTAGATTCTTGTGCTGTGGTGGCAGCTGCTGCCAAAGCAACATTTTTAAAAACCTGCACAGCCAATCAAATCTCTGTTAGTGAGTCAGAAGCCTTGCTGGGCAAAAGTGCTACCTGGCCCCACCCACTTCCTGAAAAGACTTGGCAGGCGCCAGGAAAGGTGCTGGAGGGAGCCACGGCGCATGCAGGCATCATGTTGGAAACTCCAATATTTTTTTCTTTTTTAACTTTTGTGGATTTCGAGTCAAACAATGTAAATTTAGTTCTGTTATAGAATGCTAACGGTATTTTAAGAATGTGCATATGTGTAAACATAGATTTCTTTTCTACTGAACCTATTTCTATTTTTTTTTTAAAGAATTCTGTCTTTTTGGTGATTCTGTCACTTTCCAGAATAATCACTATGTAAAACTTTAGTGATGGGTTAATTGCACACACTTGAAAATCCACAAAGCATACTGGTTGTACAATGCAGGAGTCTGAGATTTCAGAGCAATTTTGTTTTAGGAAACACAGAACACATACATAATCATTAGGTGTTAAGTACCTAAGCAAACAAAAATTGCATAAAGAGGCACAAAACAGGAACAGGAATACATGTTTAATTCATTAGAATTAAATAACAATATTCAGCACCGTTGAAATAGCACTCTTCACCTAAACCGCAGTACAAGCCACACACTATGTATAGTCATTCCATTCTGCTCCCCCCCCCCCTCGGTTAAATATTTAGTCCCAAATTATTTTTCAGGAAGAATGAAAAAATTAAAGCTACTGTAAAATCCCTAATAAACTATTTACTGTGATGGAAATATGAAGTACAAAGAGCAAAATTATGCACTAATGACACAGGTTAAATTAAATTCGATAGAACTGTCCCTTCCCTTACTAATGGATGCTAAGTGACCACCGAGTTTATCTGTTAGGGAAGTGTATGAAGGAACCAATTCAGGACAATGTACAGAAGCCACCAGGGTTGCAGATTTAAAAACCTTGTGCTGTATTCTCGCGTGTGTGCAGGATAGGGCTACCAACCATTCCAGGTAGGGCCTGGAGATCTGCTGGGATCACAACTGATTTCTAGACCACAGATATTAGTTTCCCTTCAGAAAGTGGCTACTGTGTGTATGGGGTGGTGGTGGTGGGGTGGTGGTGGACTGTATGGCATTATACCCCACTGAGGATCCTCCCCAAAGCCTGCCCTCCCAAGGCTCAACTCCTAAATCTACAGGAATTTTCCAACCCAGAGTTGGCAAATCTGGGGCTCAATGCTGTAATGCAGGGTTCAATCCAGAACATATCTGTTGGTTCAGGACAAAAACTAAATAAAATGCATGTTGATAACATCTGTAATATATGCTTTCAAATATCTCCTAATTTGTTGGAAGTGAAGGACTGTATACTGTCTCTTTGCCTCAGACTATGGGAGAGGGTGATCCTGCATTGGCTTTTCCCTCCATTGTTTTACAAAACCCACGTTGGAACAGAAATTCCCCTCTGCATTACATGCCGCTTTTGCTTTCTTTTATCATTGGGTTTTATGGTACCTTCTGCATAGATTTATGGCTGTTCAGGGGTGACTTTGCAGTCAGTACGGCGTTGCCTTGAGGTATTTGAATGCGGTTTTGAGCTGCACTTTTCCCACCCAGTTGAGAAAATGTGGAGTGAATGCTAGATGCAGAATCAGCCAGAGTCAGAGAGCTAGACAGGCAGGGCACGGACCACCCTTCCTTTTACTCCTCTCTGGTGTTGTCCCTTTGAAGTGCAGATTGCTACTCTTAGGGAAAACTTCCTTCCTTCTGGCTTCTTCCCCTCTCCACAGACAATGACATGCTTCTCCATTTTGGAGATGGAGATGGAGGAGGAGGAGGGGAAAGAAGAAGAGTTGGATTTTATAGTCTGCTCACTACCTGAAGGAGTCTCAGAGTGGCTTACAATCACTTTCCCCTTCCTCTCATCACAACAGACACCCTGTGAGGTAGGTGGGGCTGAGAGAGTTCAGAGAGAACTGTGACTGGCCCCAGGCCACCCATCTGGCTTTATGTGGAGGAGGAGTGGGGAATCAAACCCAGTTCTCCAGATTAGAGTAGGCCACTCTTAATCACTACACCACACTGGCTCCTTAGCTAGACTAGATCAGAGAATCTCTGCTATCCTATCTAGAAATGGTGTTCCTATAATAAACTCCTAGGATTAGTTTTGCAAATATAAAGAGGCTCCATGTAACTTTTTTTCTTGCTCAGCACACACACTAACCAGATGAGCTCTGCTTCACTTATGCGCCTTATAATTCACAACCCAGTACTTGTGTACCAAGCAATTAGCTTCACTTACATCATCTGACAAGACTGAAATTAAGCAAAGTAAATTTAACAGAGTAAGCATGATGCTGGATTTTCTGCCCACAGTTGCTTTCCATTTCAATATCATTCAAGATGTGGAAGCAGAAAGGTAGCTCTGAGATTTATAGCAACAAAATTGCTGAGCTGAGAATAATACCAAGGCTCACTTGTGCAATTTGAATGTATTTGCACTTGTATTATGGCAATACGACTTCTAAATGACAGTCAAAAATCAAGGATGGGATGGTTCAGTTGGTAAATCCATGAGCTTCAACAGCTGTCTGCACTGATAAACAACAACAAACAGCTGTAGATTAAGGTCCTTCAGTAGAACCCTACAGATGGCAGGTACTTTGTTGATGTATACCTCTATTTTAAGAAATCCATAGATATTATAGTGACCACACATGAAAATTGGCTTTTGCACTTGGTGGCATGGTCAGTTTTCACTACATAGTTGGCTGTGACTTTGCTGATCCTATGTTTTAACTCTTGCACTTGTAAGTTTGAATGCTTTTAACTGGTAAACTGTGCATTTGAATCTGTTTTAATTAGTCAACTGGCAATTCTTTACGTTTTTGCCACCTTGAGCTCAAGGAGATTAGATGGGAGAGAAATGCTTTAAACAAACTGTCTGGCTGTGGGGTCCAGGGCCACTGCACCCTCCAGGTCCTCTTTTCTGTCAGCCCTGACTCAGGAAGGGTCTCAGAATTCGTAGAGATGGGGAGTTGGCAACACCTTTGGAACTGCTCCCTCTGACCAGCATGACTTCCTTGACTGACATGGGATAGGTCTAGCCCTTCCTCCTTGACCTTCCTTAGGCTAGCCTAAAAAGGCTTGTCTGGGTGTATGCTGATCCTGGACTCTCCCAATGCCCTCCCTTTAGGTGTGGGCTCATGGTGATTGACAGGAATTTGGGCCACTGGTCTCCCTAGCTGGGCCTTCCCTTCTTCTCCCCCATCCTCCCCTGAAGTTTTAAGAGGCCACTGTTCCTGACTGCACAGGCCTCAGGAGGCCCCAGCTGGCCTTCCTCTGGCTTGTTGCCAGGTACAGCCTGGTGCCTAAGCCCCAACTCCCATCTGAGGCCTCTGCTTGGCCTGCCAGGCTGCAAAGCTGCTGCCTGTTGCCTCCCAAGCATCAAGGATACAGCGCATCACTGCCCCAGACCTAGTGTTAATAGCTAATAGCCACTGATAGACCTCTGCTCCATATATTTATCCAATCCCCTCTTGAAGCTGT